TATACTTTGTTATATTTTAGATATAAGAAATTTTAAAAATTAAAAAAGCTATGAGAGAGTAGTCCAAGATGAGGCTGCAGAGCTAGGTAGGAGGTCAGGTGGTAGGTTGCCTTGTAGGCCATTTTGAAGTTTGGCTTTCATCTAAGGTCAAAGGGGATCCACTGAAAAGGTTTAGACGTGGGCAGTGATCCCATCATGTTAACATTCAGAACGTCGCTCCTGCTGCAGTGTGGAGACTGGGTTTGGGGAGAGTGAGAGTGGAGCAGGAAGAGCGGTTAGGAGAGAGTTGCTGCAGTCCAGACTATACAGCTTCCTCCTTGAAACACCGTCTTCTCTTGGCTTCCAGAATGTTCTTCCTTCCTGGTTCTCTCCCTACCTCTCTGGCTCTGCCTCTCACCTCCATCTCTAATTCCTCTTCCTCCTCCAGCCTGTTAAATGTTGCTGTTTCCCAGAGTGTTTCTTTTTTTGCCTTCTTTGCTTCTCAACTTTGAAGTTATATGCCTTAATTATTTCATTTATATCCCCAACTTCAACTACCACCTTTATGCTCACAATTCCCAAATTTATTTCTCCAATCCCCTTTTTTCTTCCAGCTCCAAGCTGCCTTCTGGACATTTTTTCTTGGCTGTCTCATAATTAAACAAAATCCAGCGTGTCCCGAATGGAGTTATCCTTCTCAAATGTGCCTTTTCCTTCTGCCCTCAGGATCTGGTTAACCATATTGCTATCTATCCAGTTGTTTGATCTAAAAAACTAGGTATTATTCTAGATTCCTCTGTCAACTTGCCTCTTAAATTGGTTTCCTAATGTTAGGAATTATGGGCAGGGTTTTGGTGCTATGTGCAGTGACATATTTAGGGATCCAGGAATGCTCAATTCCCCTCTTGCTAATCACTTTACTCCCTCTTATTTAGAAGATTTCAATGATCTCACCACCAGCAAGATAAAATATCAGCATTAAAGCATTACATAGAAGGCCCTTCTTGATTTGGTTTCTATTGACTTTCCTTCTTCATCTGCTGCCATTTCTCTTATACTCGATGCTGCAGTGACATCAGCCTGCTTGAAATCCCTGAATGTGCTGTATTATTTTAGGGCTCTGTGCCTTGATGTATGATATTCCTTCTGTTTGAAAAGCCTTTTCTTACCTTGCCTATCTGGTGAACTTGAAGTTTTTTAAACTAGCCCATTTTAGCACTTGTCTTGCTGTGCCTTAATTACTAGTTTGCATGCCTGTTTGTCTCCAGTAGACTCTGAGACTCTGAGGCAGAGAATCCCTATTCATTTTTGTCTCTTCATGGCCTGGCAGTGGTAGGTGGTCTGCAAATGTATGAGGATACTGCCAAAAGTTTGTGAAAAAATAGAATTAAAAGATAATGCAAATCTTTCCATGAACTTTTTGAAGACCCCTAGTATTTCTGGACAGGCTTCACCTTTTTTTTTGTCCTTGTACTAAGATTGTTTGAGGTTAGTTGCAAATTACTGAAACAAATACTCCAGAGGAAAGAATACATTGTGAACTCTTAGGACAGATATTCTGTGTCTTCTGCTGTTTTTCTGTTTTCCATTTTGCTTAGCAGCTTTGGACACAAGGTACATGTTTAATGAATGAGAGAAAGAATGAACAAAGATAAAAAAAAAAAAACTGAAGAAGGAGTGAACTGTGTAAAATTCTGAAGGCAGAAGAAACTCTTTCAAGGAGGCCCTGAAAGAAAATAATTACAGGTTCTAGTAATTTAATGGAGGTTTGGAAATCAGTCAGATTGGACAATCTTAGGAACCTCATCTCCTGTAGACGTTTTGACTGCAATAATGTGACAAGGTTGGACTGTATCAGTGGTCTCAACCTGGCTCTCTGGGAGAATCACCAGGGGAGCTGAAAGAATACCAGTCTCCAGGCCCCACCCTAAAGATTGTCAAATAAGAGGTCTGGTTTGAGGCCTGGGGATCGGTATTTTATTTTATTTTATTTTATTTTTTTGTGGCTAGCCGGTACGGAGATCCAAACCCTACACCGTGCCCAGTATTTTTAAAACATCGCTCCTGTAGATTCTCATGTGTAGCCAGGGTGGAGAAGCAGTGAATTAGATGAACTCCAAGGTTCATCTAATAAATTCACATTTAATGTCTCTCTCTCTCTCTTTTTTTTTTTTTTAAAGTTCAAGGAAGTATAGAGAACATTTTATTTAAAAAAAAATTTTTTTTTGGCAGCTTGCCAGAACAGGGACAGAACCCTGGACCTTGGTGTTATCAGCACCACACTATAACTAACTGAGCTAACTAGCAAGCTCAGTATAAAGAACGTTTTAAATAAAATTTGCAGTGTTCTCAGTCCTGGTCTCTGACCCTGCTGGGAACTGTCTCCACCATCCCTTTTAAATTTCTTTCTTGTAAGTCTTCAGGCTTTCACTCTTGTTGCCTTCTTCTCCCAGACATGTGTAAGTTTCCTTGATCCTTTAACAAAACAATAACGCTGTCCTCAACGGTGCTGCTTATCTTTCAAACTCTTTCCCCATCTATATCCCTCCACACTCATCACCATTTTTTATAAGAGCTATTTATGTTTGGTGCATTCTCTTGCTCATCTTCTGCTCACTCAGCCCATTGAAATCTGACTATGGACACTACCATTAATGAAAAGTTTCCTTCAGAGATCTAGCAACTTCCAGCTTGCCAGTCACACTGTGTCTCTTTAGCCATAATACCACTTCTCTTCGCAGTTTCTGACACTATGGTATTGATGATCTCTTCCTTCTTAAAAAGTTTTTCCACTCTTAGCTTCTGTGTCATGACGCTCATGATTTCTAACTTTTTCTGACAATTCTGTCTCATTGGGAAAGTGGGGAAGTATCATATATTTGGTCATATATGATAATTTCTTTATCTATTTACATTCATTTATTCAATAAATATTTATCCAGTGACAACAAAGTTATCTATTGGTATGTAACAAATTATCACAATTTAGTGGCTTAAAACAACACACACTTATTATGGACCAGGAGTCTGAGCACAACTTAGCTTTGCCCTGTGTTTCAGGGTCTCTCACAAGGCTGCAATCACGGTGTCAGCAGGGGCTGGAGTCTTATCTGAAGACTCAGCTGGGGTAGGATCCACTTCCAAGCTCCATGATTCTAATGTACAGCCAGTATTGAAAATCACTGCTTCTAGAGTGGCAGGTGAAGAAATCAAGTTTCTGGGAGAATGAAAGCATAAGAAAATGTTAAACATTTACAGAGCGGGGAGAATCTAAAACTAGAGTTAAGGCTGCATTTTTAAAAAATACCACACACATACAGACATACACATACACACTTCAAATACTATATGACATAGCTAAATAATCATAATGATTTCTTTTTTTAAAAAAGTTTATTTATTATTTTTTTACATTCTAAGATGTTGTTGCAGAGCAGTTGGGGTGGAGGGGGAGAGAGGAAGGGTGAGGGGATTAGAGTGGGAGGATGAGGAAGCAGGGAGGGGAGTGTCATTGAGGCCCATGGCACCCCTCTCATTCCAACAGAGGACCCCAGGGGGCTTCCAGCAGCAGCTTGGTTGTGGCTGGAGTGGATGTGGATGTCAGGGGGACGTGGCTGAGGACCTCAGCTCTCCCCCTCCCGCTTGGGAGCCTGGGGCACTTCTGGTGGTGGCTTGGTGGTCATTGCTGGGCTGGACGAAGACATCGGGGGCATGGCTGAGGCCCTCAGCCCTCTCCCCACCCCTGCTTGGGAACCCAGGAGGCTTCTGGACCTTCTAGGTTTTATAGGTGTTCTTTGGTGGTGTAGACCTTTACTGGTTAATATCAAAATTTTGTCTATGATCTGTGGGTGTTTTGGTTTTTCTTTTAGTTCTGTGTTTGATTATTACCTACTCCTACCACTTAAACTCTGCACTGGAACTTATTTGTTGTCCTTTGCTTACTTCTAAAATAGAGGAACTTCCTGTGGGGACCAGTACTTGAGCCCTGTGGTTGAGCTAAATTGCTGCTTTGCTGCTGATTCCCTGGGGAAGGCTTTTCGTGCAGCTCAGGTTTTAATTGCTGACCTTATAAGCACTTCCGGGTCTCGTGAGTTCAGGTACACCTGTGTTGTGTGGAAACTCTGGTCTTGACCTGAGATTTTTCAGCAAACTGCACCCCCTGCAGTTCTATATTCCTGATCAGTCTCCACTGAGTGGTCCTGTGTTGATTGAAGGGCAGCTCAGCAGTCCTTGCTGTGCCCCTATGTTCCCCCAGTGGGCCTGTCTCCTCCCACTGCCTGCATTCCAAACACTTCCCATGGGGTGGGCCATGTGCTGGTCCCTTGCGGTGACTCACCAGCCTCTGAATGACTCCTTTTTTCAGTTGTTGTGGCTCCTTGCTCCTCCTGTGTGGGTCCACGGAAACTCTGTTGGTGGTCTTGCTGGCCTGGGGGCCACCAAGGCCCTCTTCTCCCCTGCCATCTCCAAGCAACTTCATAGGAAGGGCACAGCTGCAGCTTTTGCCAGCTCCTGCTCCATGTGCTCAGCAGCTCCAATCTTGAAATGGTCAGGGCTTGAGACAGTTGGAGCAATCCTTTCTCTCTTTGTGGCTTCTCCCACCTTCATGTCTCCGTAGGTCTCTCCTCCTCTTCCCCTGAACTGTAGTGGCCCCAGGTTGGCTGTTGTTGCTTTTTTATAGTTGTAAGCTGATTGATTGTGGGAGAGGGTGACACTGGGGACCGTCTATTCTGCCATCTTGACTGGAAGTTCCCATGATGGTTTCTACATGGATGATCAGTGCAATGGAATATATCTTTGTGGGAATGAGAGGGGAATCAGAAATGCAAAAGAGAATAAAGATGTAGTCTCTCAAAATCCAACAATTTAATTTTTGTGCACATGAAGTAAGCAATAAAATGAAGAACCACCTGGAATAATGAGCATTCACTTTATGTAGAGTACTAAAGTGCGTGTGTGCGTGTGTCTGTGTGTGATAAATATGTAATTTGCAAGTTATTCTGATTTTCTCCTTTATTTTCTAGGAATATTTTGAAAACAATTGCTCTGGGTCAATTGTTGTCCTTGTGTATATGTGGGACAGCCATCACCAGCCAGTATCTGGCAGAAAGATACAAAGTGAACACCCCCATGCTTCAGAGCTTTGTCAACTATTGCTTGCTGTTCCTAATTTATACAGTGATGCTGGCATTTCGATCAGGTATGTCAGATGTGGGAATTACCTTTTCAGCAAAATTATCTTCTTGAAAAGTTTTGGTTTCTAGACACTTAAAAGATAAAACAGGGCACAACCAAGAACGCAAGAACAGGAAACTATAGCTGTATTTATAAAATTATTAGAAAGGCATGCCACCTCTGGCTGGCTGGTTGGCTCAGTTGGTTAGAGTGTGGTGTTATAACACCAAGGTCAAGGGTTCAGGTCCTTGTACTAGCCAGCTGCCAAAAAAAAAAAAATTAAGTATTTTTTTAAAAAGAAAAATATGACACTTCTAAATGCAATGAAATTAGTGACTAGAGATTTATGCATAATTCTCTGAAATTGGTGACTTAAATAAGTAGCGCCAAACTGTTAACAGAGCGGAAGTTATATAAAAAAAGTGTAAACATCATTACAAGTTAGGTTTTTTTTTCCCTCTTGGTTGATAAAATTAAGGGACAATATTAAAAAAATTTACAAAGTCAAGAACTTCAATCTCCAAAATATATATTTCCAACTAAGTGGAGAATGCTGAGTAGATCAATTGCATGTAGATTACGTCTGTGTTTTGAGAGAAGCAAAGATAAGGAATTGGCAAGGAATTACTATCTTTATCACTGGCTGCCTGTGCTACTTTAGAGCCATCACAGAAGTGTTATTTATAGTTGGCTACACAAAAATGGGAAAAACTAGGTTCTAACTAATGTTTTTGTGCCAGGCATCATTTTGATTGCTTAACTTGTTTAAGTTATGTGTTAATTAATTGAAGCCTCACAACTCAAGGGAGTATTATTATTATTTTCCCCACTTTATGGATGAACAAACCGAGGCATATAGTACCTAGATAACTTACTCTAAGTTGTACAGGTAGCAACAGGTGGAGCCAGGATTCCACCCACGCAGCTTGCCCTAGAGCCTATGCTGTCACTACTGCTCCTTCCCACAAGAGAAGAGCATGCTAATATCAAATCAATTAAATGAGGTTAAATTCAGGAATGTGAAGGAAATGAGTAACCCAGACTGATTTGGAGGGTGCAGTACTTCTATTTTCATCACATTTAAGGCATATAATAAAATCGCCAGCGTGGCATTTGTTAATCCTCTAATTTTAAAATGAACCTAATGCATCAATGGTATTGCTGTGCATCAGGGTAAATAAATCATTTTTTAAAGAAAATAGAAACCAGTTGTGGGAGAGGAGAAAACATCTTAAAGGGGCAGCACCAAATCTGGCAAAAGCTTTAGGAGTTGGAAGTAGAACTGGTACATGGTTGATGGTCCTGCACTTTGCTCTTCTCTGGAAGCACTGGTTTTTAAGGAAGTCAGTGTGACTCATAAACACATCAGTGTGGTTTCCCTAAGGGATGGCTGTTAGATGCTTTCCATGCCTTCTTATGTTGAGAAAGACTAATTCTGTGTTTTCAGGATGTTCCTGTGAATTGGGTTTTAATGATAATTATTTGGTTATGATTCTCACTACTTTTGTAGGTTATCTTACCATAAAATCTTCTCATATAGGTGCCAACTCTCTCTCTCCTGTAATGCTGGCTTCTCCAAAGTAGTGAATCCTAGTTAATTTGAGTAAATAAAATTTAGGGGGAAAAAAGATGTTTCATCAATGGTGCCACTAAGCCTTTTCCCAAGCTTATCACTGACTTAATTTTCACTTGAAAGCACATTTCTTACAAACAGTGACTACATCCAAAGTTTCCTTTGAGGAAGACCATGAGTGTAGGTTAAATAACCAATTAATTCATAGGAAAACATTTAGTTTCCTAGGATAGTCTGTGGCTTGTCAGAAATGAAGACATCCAAGCTCATATCCAGATATTATATTTCTGTTACAAATAGGAAAGATAATTTAATCCCTTTTCTTCTACTTTCTTTCTGGTGCGTCCATTGAGCCACACCTTAACTTGGATCTCATCCCAGGAAAAATCTGACTGACTCTCCTGAGCTGTTGCAGGAATTTGGGTTATGAGCAATGGAAATTCGGAGGGGTCACATTTGAAATATGCAATAAACCCTTGCTTTGACTCTTTAATCTCCAAATCATAATGCATGATATCATTTTCAAGTAACATGTATTAAACCAGATTTCTTTCAACCAGGCAGCGATAACCTTTTAGAAATCTTGAAAAGGAAATGGTGGAAGTACATCTTGCTGGGACTAGCAGATGTGGAGGCAAATTACCTGATTGTCAGAGCATATCAGTACACGACTCTAACCAGTGTCCAGGTAAGAGGGAGCCCTCTGACCACTTTGGATTTTATAGCTTCAAGGGGAGAACATGAACTCATATATGTTAACCTAATTTTATTGAAAATCTGTTCACTTGAAGAAAACCTGAACACAGGTGGATAATATCTGCTTTCTAGTGGAGCATATGCTATAATGAGTAATGTTTTCTGGAATTAGTGAAAATGTACACATGTCAATCAGTTTCCAAACTGCTAATGCTATAGTGATTTGAATAGTTCCTATCAAAATAAGCATAAGTATTTAGTTGGCAGTTGATGCTGTGGTGTTGACAAGAGCTCTGTTTTATGTGTTGCTCAGACATGGCATATGAAAGTGTATGTACCTTTGTACTACAGAAAAATCGGAGGTTTGCAAACAAAGTAGATATTCTTGACAAAGGAACCATTGGAAGGAACCTACCAGCTATCTTGGGGAGAGGTGGTAGCCAAAAGTAAAACTCCCATCTGTATTTCTTTCTTTTTTTTTTTTTAATTTCTTTTTATTTACTCATTTATTTTGGCTGGCTAGTACAGGTATTCGAACCCGTGACTGGGGTGTTATAAGGCTGTGCTCTAACCAACTGAGTTAATCGGCCAGCCCCTTATTTCTTTATTAAGTTTATTCTTGCTGGGTTGAAAGAAAAATGTTCCAACATAGCAGTACTTTTAAACTTCGTGGAGTTGGGGCCGGCCTGGTGGCGCACTTGGTAGAGTGCAGCGGCGCTCCCGCCGAGGGTTTGGATCCCATATAGAGACTGGTCCGCTCACTGGTTGAGCGCGGTGTGGGTGCGACACCGAGGGTTATGATCTCGTTACCGGTCACGAAAAAAAAAAGACAAAAAGGAAAAAAAAAAAAAAACTTCGTGGAGTTGAAGAAGACTGACTTCAGTTGTCTTAATGTCAGCAAACTATGGGATGTATGATAACACTGACTCACTTTTACTAACAATAAAATGTTTTATAAATGGAGGTGAAAGTGAGATAGATTCTAATGCCAGGTTTAGACTTTGCAGTTCAATGAATTTATAACTTTTCTCATTACCCAGAACTCAGAGATGTTCTTATTTGATCTCCAAATTTGAGGAATGGTGGAAAGATTAAAGTGAAATTAGACTTATTTCACTTGGAAAAGATAAGGACTGATGAAAACTCAGTATTTTTCCAAAGTGAACATACATTAAATGTTATTACAAGAATGCATTTTATTATTAAATAAACACTTTCTTTTCTCTAACATTGTGCTAAGCACTGTCCTCAGTGTTTACTCTTGGTTTTTGACCAGTATGGGTTAAAAAGCTGAAATAGGAAGTGATTTAAGACAGACATCATAGGAGGCACACAAAGAACGCAAAATTTCATAAAAATTAAAACCCGAAGATGAAGTTTATCACAAATAGGAGTAAGTGTACTTTTACTATTAATTAATTAATTTTTTTGGAGGCTGGCCTTTACAGGGATCCAAACCCTTGACCTTGGTATTATAACACTGCACTATAACCAACTGAGCTAACCAGCCAGGCCCTATTTACTTATTTGAGTAGGTGTACTTTTAGCATTGGGTTATGAGGGTATAAGTATGTAGAAGATGGCATTTCTAGTCACACCTACTCTCATAGTCTCACACACTTTTTAATTTCTTAATTACAACTTTGAGAAACTTTGACTGATAATGATTAAAAGTTCTGAATTGATGAAAAGCCTAAATACAGCTAAACAAAACATTTCCAGTTGGATTTTTGTGACCAAAGTTCATACCTTGCACTATTGAAAACAATTTCTGTCATCCTAGCTTCTTAGAAAAATCTAAGTATTTGGTGGTCATTAGTCATGTATTTATGGTCCTAGCAAGGAATATGTTATAAAAAAAGCATCTAACAACTAAAGCTCCCTCCAGCAGTAGGGATGCTGGTTGCTGGAATTATTCGAGCTGATTTTCTACTCTAGTAAATCTCTGGTCTGGGTAATCTGAAAGGGTGTAAATTTGGATTAGATGGTTGTTGAACCTCTTAAGGATTCCTTCGAAGATTCTGTAATTACAAATAGTCATGTGGTGGTTTACATGAAGTTCATGATGTGGCCCTTGACATCCCATGGACAAAGTTTCCACTCACGTCTCTTCCCACTTTACTGCCATGTCTACCATTCCCCATTCACGGCCTGCTTCTTCTCTCTTATGCTGCTCTATTCTTTCTAAAATGCAATCCCATTTCAAGCCCTCCCTGCCCATTCTCTAAGGCCTAATTCGATTACACTTCCTCTTCTATACTCTTTTTTTTTTGGAGGCTGGCCAGTACAGGGATCAAACCCTAGACCTTGGTGTTAACAGCACTTGCTCTATCCAACTGAGCTAACCAGCTAGCCCTTCTATACTCTATTGTGCCTAAAATATGGTCTAACTCATTTTTATGTTCGTGTCCAGGGTCTTACTTAGTCCTCTGCTTACTGTGACTATACAATAATTTTTAAAGATTAAATTAAACTCTTGGAACTGAAAACATCAAAGAGAAGGCATCACCAAGAGTACATTTTGAAAAGGAGGTGCATGTAGATAAATGACTGAAGGTTATAGGTATCAGATCAGAAGTTGTGGAATTTTAGAGGAGGTGGGAGCCTGTGAGATCATTTGGTCTGATCTCTTCATTTCGTATTTTGATTCAGAGAGTGACTGGCTGGAGATCACACAGATCAGTAGCAGGGCTGGGGCCTGAGGCCTCTGGAGTTCTCACTGTGACAATAGGCAGCTACCTTATAGGCCGTTCCTTGCCCACCGAAGATTGTTAAAGATAGAGCAAATTTAAGTTTGATTTTAAGACACAATTTGAGGAATAGGGAATTGTCTGTGACAGTTTTTAGCATGGCTTTTTCTGTTTAAAAAATGTAGCATAGACTTTGTTAAGCCATTATGGCTGGATTCAGCTGGTGTCTTCCGGGACAGGCTATTATCATTTGCATTGTTTCATGGTTTGTTATTCAGGCAGGCTGAATAAAGCACTTAGGAGATTAGAATTCTGCAGCTGGAATAAATAACGAGGCAAGGTGCCCATTCCTGCACATGGTGGGTTGGACTCCAGTGATGACATTGCAATGAAAGGCAATCAGTAAACCACTGTGGACTGGATCCAACAGGCTGCTGGAGATTTAGGGGCCTGCTTTGTGCAAGACTAAACAGATACAGAGAGAATTAGGGACAAGGTTAAAAAACAAAAACAAAAAAACCCAGGGTGAGCAATAAAACAGTAGTTTCAGAAACATTATTAGTATGAGCAATATATTTTATCCTTTAATACACTTGAATGCATCAAAAATTATCCTTAAATATGTTTTATCCTTGAATTCACATAAAATTTGTGAATTTAGGAATCGAGTGAGTGAAATCTCTTTCTCCTTTATCTTGCTTGCCAGTGATTTTGGATTTGCTATCATTTTGGAACCCCACCTTTCAGATGGGCAATGTCGGGGGGCAGCAAGTGTTTTCTGGACACAGGATCCACAGGTGATGGAGAAGCATATGTTGAAGATGAGCGAGAGTATTAGCTGTGAATGACTCTGTTGCATATGGTAGAGTTGGACACTTTGCCAGGGTGATGGTGTCTGTTTGCTTTCTCGGGGTGACCTGTATTTCGTTACAGCACTTAGCCTGATTGCAATTAAGTATCTGGTTATGTGATTATTCCATGTCCAGCTAGCCTTGTGGGTGCTTCTGAGGGCAGGGCTTGTTCACCTCTGTATTCCTGGCTCCTCTCACAGTGCTTAATCATTATTTGTTGGCTGAGTAAACGGATGCATGTGGGAAGGAAAGTTTGCCTACTGTACTTCAGGATAAACACAGGTGGGAGCGCAGAGGTAAATTTCACAGGCCCTCAGGCTCTACCATTTTAAACTGTGTGATTCTGGGCAACTCATTTCACCTCTCTGTGCCTTTGTTTTCTCATGTGTAAAATGGGGATTGTAATTCCATCTCATAGAATTGTTATGAGTATTAAAGGAGTTAATCCAGGTAAAGCACTTGGTACAGAGCTGACAATAAGTGCTCAATAAATGCCGGCTTCTATTATTACTTAACTACCCATCTTTTAGCTAATGAGATATTTTAAGCTGTTTCTTTCTCATTCCCTGCAGCTTTTGGATTGCTTTGGGATTCCTGTGTTGATGGCCCTCTCGTGGTTTATTCTTTATGCGAGATATAGAGTGATTCACTTCATTGCTGTGTTTGTCTGTCTGTTGGGCGTAGGAACCATGGTTGGTGCAGACATATTAGCAGGGAGGGAAGACAACTCAGGTAAGACTGTGTTACTTGTTTCTGGTTCAGTCATGGAAATGTTTTGCTCATGTTTTCACTTTTATTTGTAAAAGGCAGAAAATATGTCCTGGTTAGATACATTTTCAATTTCATTTTCAGATTTACTTGCTTCTGGTATTTTGTGACCACTTCCATAAAACAATCTTTACGTTCCTACCTGCCCACAGTCCTTGCTCCTTTTTGTGACACTAAATAGTTTTGTTTTGTCTCATGACAGAGGTTTCTTTATATATTTGCAATAATCTCTTATGGCCCATACATTTGGAGTAGTTACTGGAAAAACTTACTATAGATTCTTGGCCTTGTTTTTATCAAAAAGGAGACTTGGTATTCACTGGATGACCTCTTTTTAAGTCACTCTGTAAATGAGAACACTTTGCTATACTTTGTGTCAAATTCAGACAATTGATAGTATAAAATCTAATTAAGGTCTATGAATTTACCCAATCTACAAGTGACTTCAATGTCGCCTTGGATTAACAGAGAAAATTACCTTGAAAACAGGTTCCTTCTTTATAGTTTTCAAACTGACCCAACCCTTCATTAAATTCCATTAATTTGTCATATCATAGAATCATTTTCCGAGGCCTTGGTATATACCACCATCTTCTGGTGTTAACACAGGATTCAAATAATGAAAAATCACAGCAGAATTGTGCCAGAAAGAGAGAAGAGTAAGAGACTCTAAACTTCTAGAAACCGGGGTTTCTCCTTCTGTAAAATCTTATTTAAATGGACATGAGTCAGATGAAGTTCTGGAGGCAAGCTATAGAGATTCACCTACTGACCGTGTATTCCTTCTGTGGCTTGTCTTCCCCTAGGGAGTGATGTACTGATTGGTGACATCTTGGTTCTTCTTGGGGCCTCCCTCTATGCCATTTCTAATGTTTGTGAAGAATACATCGTGAAGAAGCTGAGCAGACAGGAGTTTTTAGGAATGTTGGGTTTATTTGGAACAATTATCAGTGGCATACAGCTGTAAGAGTCTAATATTTTTCTTGAAAACAAAATAAGCAAATATATCATAAATGACTACTTCCTGACTACTGACATTCATTATTTATTTGGCCCAAATTCACATTTGAAATCAGTAACTTGCTAAACATCTATTAGAGGGTTGTCAAAATGTCAAGAATTATCCCTTATTTTCTTATACACGTGTGATGCTTAGGATTCCTGATTACAAGGTGGTAGAAGCATTACCAGTAAGGACTTCTTTTTTGATTATTTCCAGAAAATATTAACACAATAACTTCCTAAGTGTATTCAAAGAGAAAGCAGAATGTCATGTTTTCCTCCTATAGCTGACTGCTATTAAAGAGCCCCTTGTAAGGAAGTCACACACATCTTTATGAACTCCCTTGGTTTTATTTTGTCTTTGTTATTAAAGATATTTATTTTTGTATTCTAAGAAAAATTCAAAAGGCAGCATAATTGCCCACCTTAACTGAACTATAACAACTAAAATGTTTATAAAGTAGGAAAAATTAGTGTGGATCTCTCTGTGACCTCTTGTTTTAATCTTAGATTGATTGTGGAATATAAGGATATTGCCAGCATTCATTGGGACTGGAAAATTGGTATGTAAATAAATAATTCTTTTTAATCACTATTTTCCCCTATAACTGATAAAAATGTACATCAAGAAATATTTTATTTTGATAATATTTAGACATCTTTGTAAAATCACACCAGCTAGAGTAGTTTACATTGAGTTTTCTCTGAGAATTGGTAGGTGAACCTTTATAGAAGTTAATTCTTAATCTTTACCTGCAGAATAACCTTTCTTTACGAGGAATTCTTAAAAAGACTGTAGACTGACCTTTGGTCACACCAGCTTTCAATTAAATCTGTATCTTGTGTCCTCAAACTTCTTGTGAAGGTTGTCATCTACTTGATATAATTTGCAAAACATTTACCTGAATCATCTGATGGTGTGTAATTACCCACCACCGCCCATTGTTCATCTCATCTGATATTCCCAGGCATCTGCACAAATAAATAAAGCAGGAGGATATGGTGATGGGGCAGTTAGGAAAGATTTGAACCTTATTTAATGACAGGTGGAAAGAAGTTAAATAGTATGTAAAAGTCATCAAAAATTGTGTACTGTGCTTGGATAAATTAATTCAATTAAATAACTTAGATTGCCAGGAAGGGTGTGAGTGTGTGTGTTGGGTATGGGGTGAGATTAAAGAAGTGGTTGCAAAGCAGAGATCCTGCTCATGTAGTCAGCGTCTACACAACTAGCATTGTCCTAAAGAGGATAGTTATGTTGTTTTATCTTGGAGCATTTAATTTAATGAGATGAACAAGATACAATGAACTTAATAACTGTCTCTGATGCCCTAAAAATACTTTATTCTGAATCTGATTACACAAATCATGTCCAAGCAAACAAATAAAAGCAAACTGCTTTCATCAACCTGTTATCACAGGCATCGCTCTGTCCTGGGAGGGTGGATAGCATGGGGATAAGAGCTAATGACTCAAATCACACCATGAGCAAGATTTTATGATCGCCCTTGTGCACAGACAAAAAGTCTGGAGTACCTGATGGAAAGGAAGGAGAGGGGGCGTATTATCATGCATGTATGATTGGAATGGTTCCATCTCTGATAGTAATTTTATATCTGGAAGTGACTTGAAAGGTAATGTAGTCTAGTGGTTTTTCAGACTTTTTTTATTTTTTTATCTCCACAGCATCACAGTATTCACAAATGTTAAGTAACCTACTCCCATCAGTAACAGCTTCTGTTACATATACTAATTCTCTAGGCAGGTGGAGCAGAATGGAATGTATCAGTGTCTTTAGTGAAAGCAAGAGAGCAAATATGTAGTGTGAAAAAATAGCATCCCCAGAAGGTCTGATACAACTTCCCTTGAGAATTACTGATTGAACCATTTCATTTTAGAGATGGGGGAAAAAAGGCCCAGGAAAGTTATATGCAGTCAGGTGACTTACTCTTAGACAGCAGCTGGTTAGTGATAAAGTTGAGACTAAATCTCAGTTATCAGTCTTCTATCAGCCCAGTCTTCTTTCCACTGCACTCCCCACCCCCATTTTTATTAAGATGAGAGTCTCAGGCTTATGAATTCATCATGTTAATGTCTCAGACATCAGACAGAATCTAAAAAGTAGATTTTTTTGTCTTTGAAAACTCCTAGGTCAGCAATTCTTACACTTTTTGATCTCAGGACCTTTTTTTTTTTTTTTCTCCTTTTTGTCTTTTTTACTGACCGGTAACGGGATTGCAACCCTCGGTGTCGCGCCTGCACCGCGCTCAGCCAGTGAGCGGGAACCGGTCTCCACATGGGATCCGAACCCTCGGCGGGAGTGCCGCCGCGCTTCCAAGCGGCGCACTCTCCAGTGCGCCACCGGGCTGGCCCAGGACCCTTTTAAATACTTAAAAATTGAGGACTCCAGTCATTTAAACCTATTATTTACCATAGCAGAAATTAACTGTGAGAAATTTTAAAAATATTTATATTTCACCTCATTAAGAAAATAATAAACTCATTATATTTTAACATAAATGGCATTTTTTGGAAAAAACTGTATATTCCAAAATAAAAAAAATAGTGAGAAGAGTGGCATTGATTTACATTTTTGAAAATCTCTTTAATCTGTGACTTAATAGAAAATACCTGTATTCTTACTCCTGCTTCTTGATTTTGCCTTCATTCTTCATTGTGATGTCACATGTCATGTAGCTTCTGGAATATTCCACCATGCACTTGTAAGACAATGAAAGTGAAAAGGGCAAATAGCATCTTAGTATTATTGTGATAATAGTTTTGACCTTATAGATTCCCTTCAAGGGTCTTGGGTCCCGGGGCCTCAAGATTCTTTGGACCACACTTTGAGAACTGGTGCCTTAGAAATCCATCTTTTCTCAGCATACCTTCAGTAAAGTCTCGTTAACCTGCTTGCTATCTTTTCCCACAGTCATTTGAGCAAATAGTTAGGATGTTGGCTGTTACCTGATAGTTTTAGTTTTAGTCAGAGATATCAACTGTATTTCATTGCCCTTGTAAAATTTTGTATCCAGACAGAAATCCTTGAGGCTGATTTACACTATTCCTGGGAATCGGCCATGAACTCACAATGCTTAGCTGAATTATTGATACATTAAGCTCAGTGGGTTCTTAGAAATTTCTGCTTAAGAAGTGTAAACCTTTTTGCCTTGCAAGGTTACATGTGACAAGAACCAGCTGTTATCCTTGCAGACTTGCTGATTAAGGTATTTCTTTTTCCTTTTTTTTTTTTTTGTCTTTTTCGTGATTGGTAAGGGGATTGCAACCCTTGGTGTGGTGTTGCCCGCACCGCGCTCAGCCAGTGAGCGCACTGGCCATTCCTATATAGGATCCGAACCCGCGGTGGGAGCGACGCTGCGCTCCCAGCATTGCACCCTCCCGAGTGCGCCACGGGGCCAGCCTGAGATTAAGGTATTTCTGAACAAAGACTGAAGGAGTATTTACAGCTTATTGGTGGCATCATAAAAAAGTAATGAATGTCAGAGTAAATTATAAAAGTGGTCCTTTATTTATTTATTTATTTATTTTTTTTGTGTCCGGCAACGGGATCACAACCCTCGGTGCTGTGCCCGCCCCTCGCTCAGCCAGTGAGTGGGAAACGGTCTGTATGTGGGATCCGAACCCTCAGTGGGAGCGCCATGCTGCCAAGCGGCGCACTGTAGCAGTGCGCCACCGGGCCGGCCCTTTTTTTTTTTTTAAATGAGAGCCTAATTGTCAAGGACTACAGTGTCAGCCTTAAGGTAGTGAGTTGCTCCGTGGTGCTGTGGCTGCTTTTCACGTGGTCACCACTAGGGGGTGATGGTGTTTCTGTGCTGCAGTTCCTGGCCAGTTGATAGCTGTCTCTACCCAAAGCAAGCCTGAGAGCTCAGCAGTATACTATGACACCCCTCATCTGTGCTTTTTTAAAAACCCAAACATGTTGATTTAGCTTTAGTAGTTTATTATTTAATTTTCCATCATAAGTAAAACAATGTCCAAGGAGGAGCTAAGGTTGAAGAACTTCTAAGTAAAAGTATATTCGTGACTACCTGTTATAAACTACCTTAATCTAAATATTTGCTCTTCAGCTGCTCTTAAGATTAATAAGAAAAAGCCATTTCATGTGTCATTTTTTGGCCATATGACTTTAAACTACTATTCCGGTTCCTTTGTTTTATGTTCCTTTGTCCCTGCATGTCTAGAAGCTCACTCTCAGATCAGATTTTATTGTTTTTGGTCAAAGGCCGTTTCAAGGCTTATAGAGCAAAGAGCAGGTCTGCTGTGATCTTCAGTAAATTACACAGGTAGAAAAAAATTCGGAGCATAATGAAGATACCTAGTGTTTTATAAGTAGTTTTTAAAGAGAGACTCATAAGCCCAATATACCACCAATTTTAAGAACTGTAATATGTAATATAACTTTGGCTCTGATTTTTTGAAGCAGAGGCTGAAATTTTTTTGCACTCATCTGTGTCAGACCTTAAACACTCCGCCTTCTTTTTTTTTTGTCTTTTTCCGTGTCCGGCAACGGATCGCAACCCTCAGTGTTGCCCCCGTACCGGACCGGGACCGGCAACGGGATCGCAGCCCTCGGTGTTGCTCCCGCGCCTCGCTCAGCCAGTGAGCGGGAACCGGTCTGTATGTGGGATCCGAACCCTCGGCGGGAGCGCCGCCGCGCTTCTCAAGCGGCGCACTATAGCAGTGCGCCACCCGGCCGGCCCAAACACTCTGCCTTCTCTGGAATTGATCTTAAGTAAATACTTACCAAATAAAATAGCCATGAGAAACTTCCTGTATAGATTCAGACACAAAGGTAGAACTTAGGAAAAGAAAAAAGTAAGAGCCTCTAATTCAGGAGATGTCTCTGTTTAATCACCTGTCTTCCTAAGAGGGACACAGTATTTTTAATCTGAACATTTAAAAACCACCACATCAAACAGGACATCTTTCAAACGAGTTATATAGATATTCCACAGGTAACAGTGAACATTTTATGGCACAGCATGATTACCTTTCATAATACTGACTTAAAAAGTTTAGGGTGCTCTAAATAGCTCTAACTTCCCTTGATATTCTGTGAGTCAATTTTTTTTTTTTGAACAAACATTTATTAAACACCAGCTATGTGTTGAGTGCTGTGCTCACTATTAGATCCAAGAGTTAAAGCCAGCAGTAGGAAATTATGGTAGACTGCTCAGCTTGACATGGTCACTGGCTTTGCATCATTGCTGAATCCAGTGAAGCCTTTCCTGCCTTGGGGAGTCTGTAGCTATTTCATTTCTTAAGAATTGTCAAGGTTTAAGTTTGAGAAGTAATTGAGTATCTACGGGAATTTAACATGTCAAAGCTTTGGTGACCCACAGAAGCCCACAGCTGGTACAGCCAGCAATTTACTTAATACTCATTTCAAAAACCTATGTAGTTTTTCCTTCTACCTTAGGGAGTGTGTCTTGCTTTCTTCTCTCTCTTTCTCTCTCTCTCTCTCTCTCTCTCTCTCATCTATCTATCTATCTATCTATCTATCTATCTATCTATCTATCTATCTATCTATCTTCTCTCTCTTCCCCTTCCCCAGCCCATTCTGTTTTCCTATTGCTTTTCTCCGTCATCCCCTTATTTGAACTCTTTTTATTCGGCATAATATGAAACCTGAACTAATTTTAAAATACTTATTGGCTTGAATAAAATAGTGTGCCCCCATTCTTAATTTTAAAATCAGGTTATTAGGACCATTCATCAGTTGAGTTTGCTTGTTCCAAGAGAAAAAAAAAGATTCTGGGTATTTAATTACACATTAGTTATGCTACATGGTTTCCCTAATTTTTAGTATACTATTCTTTGTCAGTCTTTAGCTACTCTCTCTGTGTGTTTTATTTATTATGCAATAAAAACAAATATTGATTTCTTTAAAACTTTTATATGGCTCCCCAGTCCAAGTAAGAGCAAATATACAAAGTACTTAATATAATCTATTTAAACTTTGGGGATATGTCAGAACGTCATTCTCAGTACACATAACCAGTCCTGTCCTCATTGCATTTTGCTCTGGGTGGTTGTTTACAGTCCTCAAAAGGGGCAGCTTGGGGAAGGTCACCAAAAACACCATCCATCATTGTGGTGTGTCTGTCACAATGGGATCCTGCTATAATTGGCCTTTCTGGGAGCAAAAGTCAGAGATGTCTCATGTAGGGCTCCATTTCCTTGCTGGACCTTATACCTGTCACCTCTTTGGGCTTTGGGCTCTTCTGAAAAATGATGTCCTTAGCCTCTTTCTAGTTTTTAAAATCTGAATCTGCTCAGTCCACCATAAATCTTGCTATGTAACACTTGCTTACAGAGACAAGATAATTTATTAAGCTTTAACAAAGTGAATTTTATTGGAATAGCATACATTGAGAGGTTGTTGAGCAGACGTTGCATCTGTATGTCCACATTTCATTTTTGGTCCAGTGTTCCAGTGTTTCATACCAATGTTGTAAGCTGTGCCTAGGGTATGATCTGGGCTCTCTCATGGTTTCCATGCTGACCTTTTATTTTCTCCACTATGTGGGACTACTCACAGGGTGGAGTGCAGATGGGTTATCACAGATAAAGGCAAAGGTTCCATTTCTCCTAAAGATCCAAGGACCCCAGTTGACAGATGTGCCAGGTTCTGTTGCCAGAGCCTATGCACTCACAAGTATACAGGGGAGGGTATTGGGCATTAGCATCTCCTTAGGCAACTTTCAGAAAAAAGACTATGAGACGGTAACCCTCAAAGCACAGTTGGCAAAAGGTAGCAGCAAAGATGTATATGGGAGGGAGCATAGACCACTGTCTGTTCTTCTCTCCTCCTAGTTTTCGGGACTCTACATCCTGTCCTTCACCGTCATCATGGTGGGCTTTATCCTGTACTGCTCCACTCCGACACGCACTGCAGAGCCGGCTGCAAGCAGCGTGCCTCCAGTCACCACCATCGGGATCGACAATCTGGGGCTGAAGCTTGAGGAAAACCTCCAGGAGACCCTCTCTGTGGCCTTGTAGCTGGAGAAGATGGTGCCCTCACACGTACCACCAAGATAAAGCAGAGCCTGCTGACTGCTGAGGGAACACTTGGGGACATGATCAGACTCAGAGTGAGCACTCTCCAGCACTAGATTGGATCTGGTGGTTAGATTTTAGAAAGGAACATTACACACTGTATCAAAAGTGGAAGTACCCCATAGAGCAGAACCCAAGGCTGGGATTGTGTGTCTGTGTTGGAGGACCGACACCTGTTAGGGTCAGGGAGATGAGGTGCGGGCTGGGGTCTCAGAGGCACAAGTGGGAAAACAGGATGCGGGAGGTACCTAGGAGTGAGCCAGCCTCAGGATGGGGCCTGAAAGTAAGCTGTCCAGGCTGGGCTGGGTGGCCAGGAGTAGGGGCAGTCCAGCGTGGTTCTGGAGTAGGTTTCCTGGGTTGGCGGCTTTAGGTTTTTGTCCTGTTGAAGCAGTCAATATCCTCAGGCCTTGCGACCTTTGGGCACAGATGACGCCTGGTGGACTGATGGCATATGGCTGGAAAATCAGTGGAAAACCACTTGAGAAATCCTGAGATACAAGTGTGAGTACTGCAGAAGCATTAAACTGGATGCCATCCTTTCTAAAAATTCTCATGACCCCCTGGAATATTCCTGTTGATCTCATTTTGTTGAGTGTCAGCGCAGGAAGCTAAGTCTTACTGCAAACTATCACAATGAGGAGAAAGCTTCTTTTTTTAATGGGTTAAAAAATAGATTATCATCAAAATGAAAACACAAAATTAATAATTTCTCAGTGAAGAGTATATCCAGAAGCCCTGGGAGCCCCTAGTTGTTAAAAGAGGTCACTACACTACTTTTTACCAAATATTTGTGATCTGTGAGATTTTTATGATACTTCTTCAACACAAAGTGTTAACATGTAGCATCAGCATAATATCAACCACCAGAATGCCACCTTAAGAAAACTCTATGTAAATTTTTTGTAAAAATATAATAAAGAAATTAGGGGTAAGTGTTCATATTATTAAAAGACTTTCAATTCAGGGAAAAATAGTCACTGTATCTTTTCTTAGATTAACCAGTTCCCTGTGTGGATTTAGATGACTTAATATACGAATATTCAAGATTTCTTAATAATCAGTTTTTCAGAATCACGTCTCCTGTAGTGTGAGGCAAACTGATCTGTTTGGAGGCTACGGTGGGATTGAGAGGAACTCAGAGCTCACGGATCATTTGCAGGAATAAACGTTTTCCAATTCTCAATTACCACAATGGGTTCTTTACTTATTTGAGTGAAACTTTCATTCTCTGCGACCACTTAAAAATGCCTTGTCAGTTCATGTTTGGTTTTCACTCCCTACATTAACAACTGTCATTGAGTGAAAAAGGTGATGTTAAAATGTTTGGTCATTTTTGGAAAACTTTCAGTTTGGTTAGTGCACTGATTATTTCTTAAGACATCTTGCGTAAGAATAAACCTGTATCTCTCTATATGTATAGTGGTGAAGTAGAGAATTTCATATGACAAAATTCCACATGTCCGTGAAGGTTGAGCTTGGATGTCGTCTCTTCTAGGAAGCTTTCTCAGGCCATCCAAGTATAGTGGTGAAGTAGAGAATTTCATATGACAAAATTCCACATGTCCGTGAAGGTTGAGCTCGGATGTCGTCTCTTCTAGGAAGCTTTCTCAGGCCATCCCGGCTGGTTCCCACCCTCCTCAAAGCTCCACTGTCCCTTGCTCATAACTTCCTTTTGTCATTTACAGTTTACTTGCCCCTCCTCACCACAGGTTGAGCTCTTGCAGGTCATCAATGGCCTTTTTTCAACTTTCTAGCCTTTGGTCATCCCACCTCTTGGGTGTTTTATATTAAATAAACTTTGCCTTTGTTTGCAGTTCAGAACATTGAAGGGGAGATTGACCTAAAGTTAAGTCTTTTGTTCTAGCCTTTGGTCATCCCACCTCTTGGGTGTTTTATATTAAATAAACTTTGCCTTTGTTTACAGTTCAGAACATTGAAGGGGAGATTGACCTAAAGTTAAGTCTTTTATGCAGATACATGTTAGCCAGTTGTCCCAACCCATTCTGTTCTCTTTCCACCCATCCTCTTTAATCCCAGTCTTCTNGACCTAAAGTTAAGTCTTTTGTGCAGATACATGTTAGCCAGTTGTCCCAACCCATTCTGTTCTCTTTCCACCCATCCTCTTTAATCCCAGTCTTCTACCTTGCCTGCTTTCCAGAGAGGGGCAAAGGAGTTCAAATGGGGCATCCCGAGTTAAAACTCAGAATTCAGTATCCCAGAAAAGCAATGCTAAGCATGACAGCTAGCTATTAAATAATAGTACTACAAGGCTGTGCATCCTGGTTTAAAGAAATTAGTGAGGACTGGGAGTTTAACCAGCCTGTATAATAATTACTTCCATGGAAAAATGTGTTTTCAAGCAACTGGCTTATATATAGCTTTAAAATATATATATATATTTTAGTTAACCCAGTACATTCAAAATATATTATTTCAGCATGTGTGACTAGCCACATTTCATGCACCCAGTAAGCTACACATGCTTATGACTACAATGCTGAATAGTGCAAGCTTAACCTCTCCAAATTAGTCTATCCGAGGATTGTTGATATAATATATATTGTCTTATTACAGAGATTAAGAGTCTTATGACTTTTAAGATCACAAATATCTTTGAAAATAGTACATCGATTTTCATAAAAAATCTTCCAATGAGTATTTTAGTATAATATCCATTAATAAAAATATGAAATCATCTATCAAAATACATGCTGATTCCTGAGGCTAAAAATCAGGCTCTTTTGAAACACAGCACATTCTTAAGTGAGAACTTCCTTTAAGTCCTTTTTTGGCTCATTAGAACAATGTTGATTTTTCAGTTTTTGTGTAGATATTCATGCCATTAAAAACCCCTCCTGAGTAGTATAATAGAGTTGCTAGATGTTTCCCTGGTGTTGTATAGACGTAATAAATTGTGCAACTGGATTGTGGTAACACTGTAAGAAGAGAGGGCTTTGCTGGTGCCATTTTTGCTGTTTGTATTTTGAAACGAGGTTGTCTTTGTGGACAGGCGGTTAACATTGCCTTTCTGATACCAGCCTCTCATCGAATTGATATGTATTTTTCATTAGAGTTTCCAGCAGGTGGCGCTGTAACAATTGTAACAACCCAAAGACCTGTGACACAAACAATAGTTTTCTCATTTTATAGCGCCGCGTCCATAATGTCCTGTTAAATCAAAGTGTTTTCTTTTCTTTATCTTTCTTTTTTTTTTTTTTAAAAAGATGACCGGTAAGGGGATCTTAACCTTTGGCTTGGTGTTGTCGGGTCCATAATGTCCTGTTAAATCAAAGTGTTTTCTTTTCTTTATCTTTCTTTTTTTTTTTTTTTTAAAAGATGACCGGTAAGGGGATCTTAACCTTTGGCTTGGTGTTGTCGGCACCATGCTCAGCCAGTGAGCGAACCAGCCATCCCTATATAGGATCTGAACACGTGGCCTTGGTGTTATCAGCTCCACACTCTCCCGAGTGAGCCACGGGCCAGCTCTAAAGTGTTTTCTTTTTAAAGAGGGTATTTCAACGACTGTCTTCAGCAGGCATTGCCTTTGGTCAACGGTTGAAGAATTGGGGTCTCATCCTTCGCAGTTCAGAGTTTGGTGGCTAAGGTGAAAACAGGATCCAGGATTTTAACCTTCCAGTTTAGTCAGTAGTCAAAGTCCCCACTTGGTGAGTTCTGAGGGGGTCATAGTTCCTGTGGAACTGCTGAGCCAGTTAATGCAAATGCATCTCTAATGAGAGCTGTTGGGAAGATTTTTGTGGAAATACTAGCTCGATAGTACAGTTTTCTCTGAGGCTCTGGAGCCTGCCCTTTTAAGAAGCTGTCTTCAGTTTGTCTCTGTGAAATTTTATGTATGCCTAGTCATGATTCTCTTTTCTATCATAATTATGGTGATACCATTTCATCCACATTTAATCACTTAATGTCTGGACATATCCTCAGCCCTCAAAAGATACCAATAAATCAGGGAAATTCAGCAGATAGCCACTTAGCTGATTAAAAGGCAAGAGATTTATGAGGAAATTAGGTAATGCTGAACATGCAGTTCTCCATTAGTCATATAAAGGGTGTTTTGAAAAATCTGGCAATATATAAATGGTATATCAGGGGAAGCAAAGCCTCTCCAGAACAGCAAAATGCTACTTGCCCTTCTGTGCATGAACTTGTAGGGTTTAATGTCCCAAGGCTTCTTTTCCCAAAGTTCAAACTTTTACCATAGACTCTATTCCTTGATTTAAATATTACCCTCTTCTGCCAGTCTTAATTTAAAATAGAGACATTTTTGGAGAAGAAAATTTAGATTGAAAGGGAGGGAGAGTGGATACCAATAGAAAAATATAAGCCATTTGAACAACTATTGGTTCTAACCTCCCATAAACAAGCGTTCAGGTGGTTCCACATACTCATCACTCAATCTGCTATTACCACTCAATGTCCACTCAGTGGGGAGGCCAGAGCCTGTACACAAGGTGTGATGTTAGAGGACTTACAGTGCTAGCAGCTGGAGTTTCCTTGCAAAGGCCCACCTTCCCAGACCTTGGGTTTACTTTCTGTCAGGCTGGTGACTGTGCTTTTCCACTTTTCCCTCTTTCACATACTTTTAGATCCACAATCTGACTCTAGTCTTGTGATTCCATGTGGGACCTTATCAGTTTTGGTCTTTATGAAAAGCCTGCTAGTTCATGCACATACTTTTAGATGGGGGAACCCTCCCTCCCCTGTCACCCTACTGAGGTCTACTTTGTTGAGAAACTGCTGTTCTCAATAAAACTGGTAGCAGGGCCGGCCCGTGGCTCACTTGGGAGAGTGTGGTGCTGATGGCACCACAGGTTTGGATCCCTATAGTGCTGTAGTTCCAGTCTAAGCCCCAAAACTTGAGAACAAAGAGGGCCAAGGGTATGAGTCCCAGTCTGAGTCTGAAGACCTGAGAACCAGGGGTCTGGTGTTTGAGGGCAGGAGAAGATGGATAACCCAGTTTGAGCAGAGAGAGACTGAACTCACTCCTCCTCTACCTTATTATTCCAGCCCTCAGGGATTGATGATGCCAGCCCAGTGATCCCCTTACTCAGTCCCCTGATTTCAAATACTAATCTCTTCTGAAAACACGCTCACAGACAGACCCAGAAATAGTGTTTTACCAGCTACTGTCATCCCTTAGCCCAGTCAAGTTGACACATAAAATTAATCATCACACCTCCTAACTATCTCAAGTCTCTGTCTCCAGTTTCCTTTATTTTCTACATATTTCTAAAACTTTGTCAGTCCTACATATTTCTTCCAGAAGAACCTTTCAAAATATCCCTTATTGACCCAGAAACTTTCAATGGTTCCTTATTACTCTTAGAATAAGTCCAAGCCGAGGCTAACCAACTCTGTTCTTACCTTCCCAATCTTATCTGTTGCTGCTGACTCACACCAGCTCAGTCAACAAGACTCCTCCCTGGTCTGTGCTCACTGCTTTGTGCATTCCGCCTTCACCTACTTCATAGGCAATTCTCCTTAGGCACGATTCCTTGTTCCACTTAATCTTTATGTATCTCGTGCTTGCTTGCTTCATTCTCCAAGCTTCAGCTCAAGTCCACCTCCTGCTTTCTAGATGATGAAGTCCACAAGGTTCTCTCCGACTCTAGAGTGTCCATAGCACTTACTCTCTTGTCCCACTCAGTTGACACACACAAATCATCCCCTACCAGAAACATAGTGTGTTCCTCAGAAAGTGGGATGTGGAAGTCAAACAATATACTTACATGTTATAAAGGGGAAAGAGATTCATTCCAAGACAGCAAGACATGAAAACTATCCAACTACATCTCAAATTTTAGGCACATACTTTAGTGATATATCTTCAGCATTTGGTAAGCATCTTGTACACATTCTTTATTTTTTTCCCCTTCACAGCATAATAGTGCAGGGATCCTGACTGAGGCTGTAGATGTGCCACTTTCATGATTTCCATGTTTTTTGAAAGTGGAAACAGTTTTCATTTTTGTTCTATTATATTACATTTATAAAAATTGCACTCATCATTGGGACCTCATTCTCACTCCTTTTTATAAAATAAGATGAGCAAATGAAATAAAATAATCAAACAGTTACATAAATACCAATGGCTCAGTGGAGATAATGCTGGAATTAAACTGTTGGCTGGCAGTAGCATCATTCATCTGTTCACTCCAAAATATATTTATTTACTGAGCAACCGAGCAGGGCACTGTCCTAGGCTATGGCACCATAAGGCTTTCAAAAGTTGGTTTGGGGTATTAATATATTATCCAGGAAAGTGGGGAATCTATGAAAATACTGAATTTGAGATCTACCTTCTGCCTTGCATTGCTAATTTACCTATTTAATAATTCATGTGAATATATTATCCTCCTAATGATAATATATTCATATGATATAATTATTCATATG